CCTTGTTACCCTAATATTACCTATTATTTTATTTATTACTGAGCTTTAATATAACGTGCTGCCATACTTGTTAAGGCAGTAACTAATTATGCTGAACATATTAAAATAAAACAAAATAATGAAATTAACATCAACGGGTGATATAAGTTTAACAAATGAGGAGTCGATATTTTGAACAAGAATACATGAATGCGTTTATTTCAACATGAGCCATTTCTTTTTTGTAATTTCCATTTGTAATGGTTCATTATGTGCATTGCCTACTTCAATCATCTTTGATGCTTATTTGCGTAAAAATAATTTATATCTATATCTAGGGAAAACATTTGTTTGGGCTGTGGTTGGTACTAAAAGAGCACAAAGTAGGGCAACAGACAGAGATGGATGTGTCAAGGAGTGTCACAGTTTGTGTCCTATTTCAGAAGTTCCGAGACCCAGAAAATTACCCATTTTCCTTGAAACCAAATGTGCTGATTATACAGACTGTAAAGTGGTAAACCATGTCTGCAAATGTAACAGCACTGTTTCACACAATCACTCTATTTAGTAAACATAAAAAACTGTCTGCCTTGGTGCAGGACAGACATTGTAAACGTATTATAAATCTGCAGACTTTCCCTTCCAGGTTATGTAAATATTAAGGACAGAACTCTTAGATACATTTTAAATCAAACATCATAACGTGGCCTCCTCCATGTTTGACAGATCACATGGGATTCTTTGGATCAGGAGTTGTTCCTTTCCTTCTCTAGCCTTTTCTTCACATATTTATGGTACATGTTAAACTTGGTTTCATCTGTCAATTTTTTTTCCAGAACGGTCTAGGCTCTTTTATATGTTAACTGGTCATTTCTAATCTAAGAAATCTCTTTTTAACCACTGTAACTAGTGGTTTGTATGTTGTTGCAAACCCTCCATATTTTCATGAAGGAGTCTCTTCATTATAGACTTTCACAAGTGTCTAAGTAGATTATAGACTGCTTATAGAGTTGTACGTTACTGATCATGGACCTCCGGAGACCTTCAGAGCTACAGCCACCCTCAATGTTTGACTATAAATCCACTGTGGTGGTGTACATGGGAAAAATAACCAAAGTGTGTCGATATCCAATACTTTTTAATCGAAAAGTGAATTGTCAGAGAAGGACAGACACTGCTGCATATGACACCAATAATAATGATCATTAGGTTTTATTTAGACTTTGGAAGAAATGTTGAATACTGGCTTGTTGCTGATTGGCCAGTTTACTAAAAAAAAAAAACCCTTCTTGTTCTTCAAATGTGAGACGGCTTTCTGTGAAAAATAAAAGTTGGTTTTCAGTTTTGTTTTTCAGTTTATAGTGTTCACTGATTCGTTTATTAAAAAAAGAAAAAAAGAACAACTGAAACCATGAAATGGAAAAAGCACTGAGGTGGCACCAAAGTACTAGAACACTGTACCGTTAATATGTCACTAGATGAAATAATGAGAATTACTGGTGAGCTGTAATTAGGTGCAGTTACTCAATAGCATCGCTAAAGTACAGTTTTTAATGTATTCATAGCTTACGAGGCATTTCTGTGATATAGGAGGCTACAGTGTTGTAAAGATAGATAGATAGATAGATAGATAGATAGATAGATAGATAGATAGATAGATAGATAGATAGATAGATAGATAGATGTTAGTTAATCAGTAACCATGGCCCAGTAATATACAGTGGGGCAAAAAAGTATTTAGTCAGCCACCGATTGTGCAAGTTCCCCCACTTAAAATGATGACAGAGGTCAGTAATTTGCACCAGAGGTACACTTCAACTGTGAGAGACAGAATGTGAAAAAAAAATCCATGAATTCACATGGTAGGATTTGTAAAGAATTTATTCGTAAATCAGGGTGGAAAATAAGTATTTGGTCACCTCAAACAAGGAAAATCTCTGGCTCTCACAGACCTGTAACGTCTTCTGTAAGAAGCTTTTCTGTCCCCCACTCGTTACCTGTATGAATGGCACTTGTTTGAACTAATCATCTGTATAAAAGACACCTGTCCACAGCCTCAAACAGTCAGACTCCAAACTCCGCCATGGCCAAGACCAAAGAGCTTTCGAAGGACACCAGGAAAAGTATTGTAGACCTGCACCAGACTGGGAAGAGTGAATCTACAATAGGCAAGCAGCTTGGTGTGAAAAAATCAACTGTGGGAGCAATCATCAGAAAATGGAAGACATACAAGACCACTGATAATCTCCCTCGATCTGGGGCTCCACGCAAGATCTCATCCCGTGGGGTCAAAATGATGATGAGAACGGTGAGCAAAGATCCCAGAACCACACGGGGGGACCTGGTGAATGACCTGCAGAGAGCTGGGACCAAAGTAACAAAGGTCACCATCAGTAACACACTACAACGGCAGGGAATCAAATCCCGCAGTGCCAGACGTGTTCCGCTGCTGAAGCCAGTGCATGTCCAGGCCCGTCTGAAGTTTGCCAGAGAGCACATGGATGATACAGCAGAGGATTGGGAGAATGTCATGTGGTCAGATGAAACCAAAGTAGAACTTTTTGGTATAAACTCAACTTGTCGTGTTTGGAGGAAGAAGAATACTGAGTTGCATCCCAAGAACACCATACCTACTGTGAAGCATGGGGGTGGAAATTTGTCCTGCTGTCCTGCTGTGACAAAACAAATTTCCCACGTGTGGGACTAATAAAGGTTATCTTATCTTATCTTATCTTATCTTATCTTATCTTATCTTATCTTATCTTATCTTATCTTATCTTATCTTATCATGCTATGGGGCTGTTTTTCTGCCAAGGGGACAGGACGACTGGTCCGTGTTAAGGACAGAATGAATGGGGCCATGTATCGTGAGATTTTGAGCCAAAACCTCCTTCCATCAGTGAGAACTTTGAAGATGAAACGAGGAGTGGCTCCGTAAGAAGCATTTGAAAGTCCTGGAGTGGCCTAGCCAGTCTCCAGACCTCAACCCCATAGAAAATCTGTGGCGGGAGTTGAAAGTCCGTGTTGCTCGGCGACAGCCCCAAAACATCACTGCTCTCGAGAAGATCTGCATGGAGGAATGGGCCAAAATACCAGCTACTGTGTGTGCAAACCTGGTAAAGACCTATAGTAAACGTTTGACCTCTGTTATTGCCAACAAAGGTTATGTTACAAAGTATTGAGTTGTATTTTTGTTATTGACCAAATACTTATTTTCCACCCTGATTTACGAATAAATTCTTTACAAATCCTACCATGTGGATTCATGGATTTTTTTTTCACATTCTGTCTCTCACAGTTGAAGTGTACCTCTGGTGCAAATTACTGACCTCTGTCATCATTTTAGGTGGGGGAACTTACACAATCGGTGGCTGACTAAATACTTTTTTGCCCCACTGTATTGCATGAAACTCTGAAAAGGACCATTCTGTATAATGAGTACTTTTACTTTATCCATCGTAAGTATATTTTGATAAAACATTTGTCATCTTATTTAGGCATTAGAACTACTACTGTCAAAGTCTTATTAATTTAGGGACCACACATAGCCCAAATAAATGTTCAGTGGCCCAAATAAGTAAACCAATAGCATAATAACCTATTTAAAAAAAACCCCACAAAAGCAAAAATCCCTCCTTTTTTGTGTGATCGTAAAAGTACATGTGAAAGTGTTTGCATTTAATAAACCATCCAAAACAGGCGGTGAACAGCTTGAGAGTTCTTAAGAAAAATAAATGCAATTTCAGCAATATTTCTCAGTGTTGATATCTCACTTTTTATGAGAAACACTGGGAATTACGTCAGCAAAGATCAGGCGCTTTACCATCTTAGCTCAGTGTGGTTTGGAAAACCGGGGATGATGTCTTTCCAGTAAGAAGGAAGTTACACTGATCCTGATTTAGCTCCCTGGGTGTGTGTACAGTGTTGATGTTATGTACAGGCCCGTGGAGTCTAGGCCTGTCAAAAACAAACACCATTGTGCCCGCTCGGCTGAATTCTACTGAGAACACTTTTACATCTATGAGTAAAACTAAGTCACACAGTTTGGTAGTGAAAACTTCATCACTGACACCTCATTGTGGGAATACCCAAGATCATCTTTATTATTCGATTAATAATAGCTTAGTGCATTCACAACAACCGTGGAAACTAGCATGATGAAGAGGACATTAACTCTGGACTGCATTGACCTTTGCAAGACAGACTTTGAAAAGTATCTTTCAGTTGTCTCTTTGGATACATTCACCAGCTTCTGAGTCCAGCTATGAAACATGATCTCACTCAGAAATTACAAAACAAACGAAAATGTGTTGAGGATGTTCTACACTCACAGTCGGCGACTCCAACTTCATTAATCCATGTCGGCACCTTGAGAAAATATTTCTCTTCTTTTGCACAGTATACTATATGAGGGATATTTTTGTACCTTAAATAATATTTCTCCATAAGCACAGTATGGTTGTGATTACCCATACAGGATGTATATTCGGTTTATTTCATACATTGGTTGTACAGCCTGTAAAAGTGGGTCAGTATATGGGCTATCATGAGGATTAAAGGTTGTCCCTTGCAGCACTTTATCTATATATTTATTTTACTGTAGATATAGGCTTATAACTTTTGTTTTGTATGGTAGCATGTGTCAGTACAAATGTCTACTCAACTGAGCTGAGCTAAATGTCTCCTTGTCAAAGTTGGTTGGTTGGTTGTCCCACTTCACATGCTCTGGTGCCGACTGCATGAGCCCTAAAATCATACACAGTGTTTTTTATGGCAATGTTTAGAGTTCATTTATCTGGATTTAACATAGACTCCCATACTGCGTTGTTCTCCCCCATCTCCGGGAGCGCGCCTACTGACTAGGTCGCATTTGTCACTGCATCCGGAGTCCTGTGAGTAGAGCATGTACAAGCTGACTCAGCGAAGACCTCAGCCCTCACTGATTGGAGGAAGACTGCTACTCTTCTTTCTCTGATTGGCCCGTAGCAGTACCATCTATTGCGGGCCTCCACCCAATCCCGGCATCGTAAAGTTCTGCTGCGGAAGAGGGGATGCTAAGGAGATGGCTCAACTTAGATAGCCCTGTGTTTTTCCAATAATATTTTCGCCATGGATGCACTTTGGAGGAAATCTAGAAACAGAGGACGGCTGCTTGTGTTTGCAGCAGTCTTTGTGTGGTATGCAGGGTCTGTGAGCTGTTTCGGTCAGAGCCAAGACAGCGAGTTTACGTTTCTGTTGCCAGCAGGAAGATCCGAGTGTTTCTTTCAAAACGCAGTAAAGAACGGTACGATGGAGGTCGAATATCAGGTAACTGTGTATGGGGGGTCCGAAGAAATAACCACTCAATGTCTACACAGTTTATTTCATAATAGCAGCGATAGCGGAACATGTTGTAGATGCCTTGCGTCACTCCTTTCAGCTAACGTTAGCTGGCATGCATGCATGCATTGTGCAGGTATTTTAATAAGCCACCATTAACGTCACATTGAAGAATAATAAGTTATTACCAATGCATCTTTTGTTCCACATTTTCCTGAAACGGTAAGCAAGTCAAACCAAACCAACACGTCAAATCAAATCTAATTTATCTGCCACCGTTTTATAAATAAGGTGCTTCCCGAAAGTCAGATGCTTTCCCTGTACAGATCAATGATAAAAAAAATAGCGTACCGGAAATAACATAAAAGATTTTAATCAGTCACGTGTCTGATGGTTTCAGATCCTGCTGTTCGAGGTAAACCCGTGATGCCAACTCGCTGTAGTTCTTGACCCAGCTGGTACTAGGACTAATACTAGAACTAGTAAAACCATGGTCTAACAACCCCCATGGGAAATGTCTATGCCAGTAAGAAGTGTGTAAAACTGACAGTGACTCAGATCTCAGTTCAGACAGTCTCTTCATACTGATTCATTGTGATTCTGTGTGATGCAAAAAGAAAGAAAGAAGAAACAGTGAAGTTTTCCTTTTTTTTAAAAAAAAAAGTTTGTGAGTTAAAGTGTTTAAGAATCATGACCAAAATAATTATGAATATGCAGTAGTCTTTGCTCTAAATGAGCAGCTCTATTTTCTTAGGATTCATTGTTTGCTGTGTAAAATCAGACTGCAAAGAATCAGCAACATCACCAATCTCATTAAACGGCAGAAATATTAAACAGTATCTCAACAATAATGCAAACAATAATGTAAAAAAAAGATTATGTAAATATAACAACAGAGACCAGTTGGAAAATCAGCTGAACACAGAAGTAGAAAAGTAACTGTTGGGCATGGTATTAAAAGTTGTATGCTGCAGAAAAATTACAAATTGCGCAATATACAAAAAACAATGTGGGACCCAATGTTGTGAAATTATATTGTTCTAATTAGATGATTTAGTCACTGATCTAACTTGTTGCTGATTCATGGAGGAAGGCATTATATTACCTTTATGACTGTCCAAACAAGGCAGCACCTTGTAAGTATCAGTTTAAACAGGCTTTAAGACAGGAAGTAATACAAGTCAACCTGTTGTTTGTTTAGTGGGAGAGTCCCTCTTGAAAGTGTTAGTATTAGTTTGGCTAGAGACTTTTCTTTTACTGCAAAATGTTTGACATTTGAATTTGAAGGTGCACAATGTGCTTATGTGAATGTCTATTTTTCCAGGTAATAGCAGGTGCTGGTATGGATGTAGACTTCACAGTAGTCTCCCCTCAGGGCATCCGGCTCATATATGAGTCACGACGCTCTGATGGAGTCCACGTGTAAGTGGCCTGAATCTGTGATCATTCTTCATATATACCCTGTGGGTTATTACAACTTAGTTTATATTTGATATTTGCACTCTCTGTTCTTTCAGGGTGGAGCCCACAGAGGAGGGAGACTATGAAATCTGTTTTGACAACAGCTTCAGTCGCTTCTCAGAAAAGATGGTGTTCTTTGAGATCATTATTGAGGGCCAAGGAGGAGATGTGGGAGGAGATGATGAGTGGGCGGGCTTAGAGGAGCCTGAGGGAAGCCTTCTTGAATACAAACTGGAAGACATCAGGGTGAGTTTTAGCTTTTTGAATTCAAGCAGAAAAAGGGCAAGTTGCATCATTTGTTCCACTGATAAAAATCCTTTTACTGTCATTGATACCTTATTGCGTAATTAACGTCACCACTAGGAATTTAAAAACGCCGCAGCTTTTTTTGTCATCAGTTCCACACACCTCGTCTGGTTTTACAGAAACTTTCTTCAGAGTGTGTCGTTTGTTGTTATAAAAATAGTTCCCAAGCGAGGAAGTTTGGACATCCTCACTCAGTCCACTTGAAAATGAGTCATCATTAAAAAAATAAATTCAAGTGAATCATAAAACACACAGTGAATACTCAAAACTGTCATCATGATATTTACAGTGTGTTTACTGATTCACGGCGTAAACTCATGCATGCTGGAAAGCTGCTTTTCATTGACTCAAAAGGATACGGTTTTTGATTCGTTCACATAAATACTGTAATTTTTATAGTAATTTACTGTTATTTAATTTCTTTTTTACCTTAACTGTTTGTATCCTCTTCCCTTTACTTTAATAAGTTATTAGTAAAATTAGTAATTTAGTCCCAGTTTGTGGGTAATGTAGACACTGTGATGTCATCCATCGCAGTGTCTGGGTTTAAAGCTTCAAAGCATTTTGGACACCTGCAAATGTTGTCTGTTTGTTTTTGAGGCTTAAATTCACCATATTGGGGCAGGAGATTGTTAGTGCTCTGTTATAGGCTACCACCAGCAAGCTTGGTTAGCAACTGTGTTAATACGGAGTACGCGTGTGGCACACCAACACACATATGCCTACCAATTATAGCTAATTACAAGCCAAGTGAAATACTTGAAATTCACTCATAAAAACTGGAGAACCAACTTCTTGGATGGTCTCACAGGCAGACATAGTATTTGCCATACAGTCTATTAAAAATTTGCCAAAAATGGCGAAAAAAGCACAAACACAGCGTAGCGGACCAAGTGAAGCACTGGAGCTACAGATTAGCCTGTGTCGGCGTGCCTCTTAGTTCACATGGACACAATCATGAAAGAATATTAAAAAAAAAAAAAATCCATGTTAGTTTAGTTGTGACAAATGGGGCAAACTGTTCATAGAGACCAAAGTCACTGTAAACATGCTTTTTAATGGTGTAAACTTGGACATTTTAACATGCGAGTTTTTGTGTTGACTCTCTTTTGGAGCTTCAAGTGGCTTAAAGAGGAATTTGACTATTTTTGGCACTATTTTGCCTTGGCTTCGTTACTTAGCCCTGGTGTTTGCCACTTGGTGTTAGTGTTCTTTGACTGGCGTCCTCTTTTAAAATTACATTACACTGTTTAGGAAAAAAATCATTTCATTAGAAATACTACACTTTGCTTTTAGTGTGTAACATCTGCTTCACACTAAGCATGTTGTAAGAAACTCAAAATGGTATAAATTACATAGATATTTCACAGGCTCCAAAATTATATATGCAAGGGAAATGCACACTATGACAAATGGTTATTTATTTACGTTATTTTACCTCACCGGATATTAAGGGAGGAGAAAATAAAAAGCAACCATCATACAGAGAAACAGTGGGTGAGAAGAGGACGGGAAGATGCGACACTGAGAGATGAATGACTTGATCACATCTTAATAAAGCCTTTCTAACATGTGATCATGTGGTCATTTACATTTGATTTACAGTTGACTTACGACGCAACTTTCCATGGTGGTTATACAGACTTAGAAATTAGCCACAACTTAACCATGTGTCTGAAGCAGCGTATACTCTGACACTCATCTGTGAAGTGATCAGATCATTAAAGTATTTGAGTAAAAGGGAACTGAATTTTGTTTGGGTTTTGAACACATTTCAAACTATTTTATTTAACCCCACTAGAGATGATGGAGAGTCCCATATATGCAAGTACAGCTTATGAAACTGAAAAGGCCTTTTAGTTGAAAGGTGATTTTTCAAAAACCTGAAAGATGTCCAGCTGCTTTCGACCAACACTTACTACACATACTAGTATGCTTCTGCTACTAGCCTCTACTTGGATAGTGTTTTTAGAAAAGGAAATCATATGTCTTTTACCTGTCATTCTTTGATATTCAGTTCGAACAAATTATGCTTGAGCTGTGAGACACAGACAGGCAGGGGAAGTGGGAAAGTTTTAAAAGACAAACTAATACACTCTTGGTTTTGTTTTGTTTTTGTGGGATTTTGCCGACGATATAGAAAATGTCAAATAACATCTGCTTCAATCTTTACACAGTGTTTGCCAGTTTTGAAGACTTAAATACTGATGCACCTGCTGGAAAATCATTGCCTACTTGGCAAGTCAAACTAGTTAAACTAAACCACACGATTGCTGCATGACGTATTATGGGTTTTCTAGCTGACAAACTTACATTTGACATGAACTGAAACGGCACAGAAAACGCATCTCTAAGTTCTGTTTTGACACCAAAATGGAAGTTTAGAAAAGTCATTAAGCCATTTGCAACTTCTATTTCTTCCACTTTACCAACTACACAATTGAAAGCTCGGTACTTTTGAGACCAAGCATAGCCTGTCATTTTTTCCCCTCTCGTTTCTTTTTCAAATCCCTTAAATCTTTGCTCCCTGTTGCTATCCATGTTTTCATGCCGGGCTTCATTCCCCTCAGGAATCCATGGAATCTCTTTACAAACGCTTGGAGCGCAGCCGACAGATGCAGACGGTGCTGCGCGCTTTCGAGGCACGGGACCGAAACCTTTTGGAAGATAACCTGTGGAGAGTCTCGTTCTGGTCGTGTGCCAGCGTGGTGGTGATGTTGTGCGTGGCTCTTACACAGGTAAATAAACATCTCAGCTTCACAACCTCAATAAGGGAAAATGATTTGTTTTGTACTTTAGGCAGACACTTTTCAAACCTGATATCCTGCCATCTTTGTTCACAGGTCTACACAGTCCGCAAACTGTTTGATGATAAGCGGAGGGTCCGCACATAGAGGGATTGTTTTGAAGTAATACATGACAGACCGGGAAGAAAATCAGCTGAGAACAAGGCATTTGGTTACCCATTCAAATTATTACTATTGTGTATTATTGCTCTTATAATCCACATGGACACAAACAGTCACAATAAATTCTGCTGGAGTTGTATTTAATTTCTGAGACCTTGTTCCACATTTCTTTGTGAGCAATAAGTAACATTGTTACACCCTTAAGGGTAACCAGATGAGTAAAGGGTTTAGGAAGTTTAGGTTAGTTAGTCATTTCTGTCATTTAGTGCCTTTAACGTCAGATCTTACCACAAGCCATCGAGGAAATGTTGTCCTGTTGTACTGTCCCATACTTCTGAAACTGTGTAAAGGTTTTGGGAAATTTTCACCAAAGGTGTCATTACCTTTGAAGGTCAATAGTGTAACAACACTTAACAATTGATCTGTGTAACTTCTTTGACTGCTGGTTTACAGGGGATAACATTGTGCAATAGTGTTGCTGGCTTATTTGTCCTCAACAGATCCTGCCATCGTAACAGCGATTTTAATTGTCATCACTCCAAGTGTTTCCTCGGTTATAGCCTTAGGGATCTTTTTCTTTTTCTTTGAGAGGTTACTGATTTATTGTTATGTGCCATTAAAGGACAGCTGACATACTTACAAATAAAAATGCAGAACAAGAATGAGGGATTATTTTTAGTGATTAATGATGACAAACGCGTGTCAGTTCTCTTTTAGACTTGTATACATGCAGGATGTATGTGAATGTAAGTTCATGTGTATATATCAGGATTGTTACATGCATGTTTGGTTTCTGACATTTTGGCTTCTGGGGAATCAGATCGGCCTTTTTTTTTCTTCTTCTGATGTTTGTGTGTGAAAAGAATGTAATTTTGATTCTACTCAGCTTTTTATTTTTTACCAGATGCATTGTGTGTGAGATACTTAAAAATCAAGTTTTCATGGGAGTCACTGATCAGAATAAATGCATTTTTACACAGAAATACTTTGATGTGAGGATTTTTTTTCGGGATAAAAAGCAGCTGCAAACAGAACTGATTAAAGAATTGTCTTTATAAATAAGTCACATGATGAATTCCACATCAGTCTTGAATGAATAACATGCAGTAGATCAGCATGCCAAGGTAAACACACCTAGTAGGACAGTTAAGCTAAATGTTATCACAAAGCTTTGCCTTCAATTTACTTTTATTTCCTCAGGTTTGATAAACATTTCTGATAAAGAACAAAACAAATAATTTTTTCATGATTGCTACACAGTAAATTAAATAATAGAAATACTAAGTAAACTTAATAGTCTACTTGAATATACAGAGGATGCCAGCATTTCTCATTCTAGAAGCCAACGCATACAGAGTGTCAACTTTTGTCCAGCCACGACTTCTCTTGTAATGTATAACCATTATTTCTGCATGCACTTGTTATTTAAGTGTCTAGCTTAACAATTATACGTAGGACAATCTTCCTCCTGCTGTAGAGTCTGAGTTTCCCTCACCAGTGGTTGGGACGAGCAGGGACTTGCGGTGGCCGCCTGTATTAAAAGGTCACGAGAAGAAAAAAAGATTTTGGGTAACGCTATCAGTAAAACACAGCGGACAGAAGAAAAGGTGAGGAAGAACAGGATTGCATACCTTTAGTAATTCCTTCCCAGCTACATGAACGGCAAAACACCAAAAGCAACTAGCTTTCATCATGCTTTGCAGAAGATCTTATCATGCCGCATACAGAAAGTGAAATTTTTCTCTTGGTCTCCTAATCTTACAAATCAAAAGTTCTTAACCTCAATTCTGTGTAAATGCTGTCACAAGAAGCATGTTCTGCATGTTTCACTCTTTGTGCAAAAAAAAAAAAAAAAAACTTGAGAAAAGTGAAGAAGAAGAAGCTGCAGCCACCAAACACTTGTCTTTTTCTATTCATTTATTCACTCCATCACTTCATGAAGAAGAAGAACGTCTTCCTTACATTTTTTTCCATTATGGCTTAGATTTTTTTTTAAGTAATTATAATTTCTTTCTTTACTGTAGGCACTAATGAGGATGAACAGTTGTGGGAGGTAATTGTCAGACTGGGTGTTTGACTGGGTAAGTTCACTCTTACCTCAACTACTGTATATTTATTGTTGTTAAACCAGAAAAAAACCCACTGCTCCAGCAGCAGTGGGTTTTTCCCCTCTTCTGTCTCTTGTTTACTTGGTCTTTAAAACAGAAATGGTAAAACCTTACCCATAAAAACTTAATTAGTCAAAATTATCAAGCATATAAAATACTGGTCACTCTAATTTGTATAAGCCTGTTTGAAGCTGAGAAAAATTGAGAGAAAAGTGCGGTTTTACTTATTGAGGTGAATAGTGTGTAAAATTGCTGACAAAATATTAGCAAGTACACATAATACAAAAAGTTATAAATTGTATTGTTGTAAGACACATTTCAATTTAAATGCACAATGAAAAATTCAGCCTGACTTGCTGGTTCCACACTTTTGAGCCATTAAAGTCATCAAATTTATCCCCTTTCATAATACTAAATGCAGGAAATGTCATTATGTACTTGTTAAAAAAAATCTCACAATTACATACAATATGCTTCTGAAATGCACAGACTGAAACAGCATCAGATTACTACTTAACAGTAGTCTAAAGTTACAGGAAAAAAATTAGTGACTATTTCTGCTTAAAAGAAATATATAAGTGTAAACAAAGTCTTTAAGACCAGATAAAAAAAAGGTTTCTAATCAAGAAGCGAGGGCTCTGAAGGACGTATGATAGTAGGTCGGTTGGGAGCAGCCGGTGGTCTTCTGCTGCAGGAAAAGAGAGGAGAAGAGGTATTGGGGGAAGGGAAGGGGAGGGAACATGCAAGGAAAAATATTATCAGAAGGTCATGCATCAGTTTTTCCCAAACCACCAACAAAAGCCTGAGTAACACATAGTGCAGCCCTTCACCAAATGTTTCAGTGCAACTTTCCCCAATACCAAAGCCACACAAAAAAAGCTTCAAGGTCTGTATGTGTGTGTGTGTGTAGTTTTACCTAGGAACGCCCGGTGGCAGCGCTGGAGGCACACGGGCCGGCCTTGATGGGACTAGAGGAACAGAGTTGGGATCGCCTGGAGGCCGGGAAGGCACGGGAGGTCCAAATGCTGGTGATGGGTTGACAGCAGATGGAGGACCTGGAGTGGCCCCCCTCACCCCTGGGGGTCGGCTGGGAGGGGCCCCTGATGCGGTGCCAGGACGGGATGCTGGAGGACTGAAAGAAAGATACGGAAAGATATTTAATATCATGTCAAAAACAAATGTCATATTAATTTTAGCATAGCATATATTTAAATAGGGTAAACGATACTGTCTTTTTTGATGTTCCAGCCGACAGAACTCATATTATGTGACTTTTATACTTCAATCTGTTTCATTACTGCAAAAAACATGAACATAGTTGGATGCTGGTATAACTGAAAATGCTCTTTTGCATTGGTGGAAAAAACAGTCTTTAGCTGACCTCTGCTGGACATCTGGAGTAATAAAATGAGTCAAGCCTAGTTTGTCTGTTTTGCAGAGAACTAACATTACTTTGGGATATTCAGTGGTTTGGAAACATTGAAACAAATCAACAGTGACTATATGTCTATTAATAGTAACACTGGGTCTCTACCTGGTGACCACAGATGTCAGTAAATTTAGAGTGAACTTGTCTTTGTGTTGCCCAAAACACAGATGTTGTGGGTACTTCCCAAATCACATGAGTTCATTGTTAATACAAGTGTGAAAAGGGTTTTAATTATTATTAATATTGTTTTTTTATTTCCCTTTATTATTTCCATAGTCTCAGCAGCTTTGTTTTATCTTGTATTTAAGTTTTAATGTAATATTTTATGTAAGTGTTGTGTGAATTTGTCCAAAATTATGTTGTACCTTGGCTCTTTGGCAATCCAGGTATCGTCGACGGGTGGCGGGACTGGAGTAGAAATCGTGGTGGTGCTGATGTCTCCGATGATGACCAGAGCTTCTTTCAGAGCGTGGTACATCCTCAGCATCTCATCTCTCCTCTGAGCCTGCTCTGCTGACTCCTCCATCAAGCTGCCCTGGTCCCCTGCAGAGTACAGGTAGGCAAGCAGCTCTGAGTGGATGAAGTCCTTGGCCTGGAAGTGCGAGTGGGAAAAGGGCAGCAGTTTAGAAAACGAATTCTAATAAGATTTGGTATTCCACATTTGAAAAGCTATAAATAATTTTGAGCAGGACTCTATAAAGTTGCTTTTTAGATAAAGTGCAATGTTTAAATTATTATATAATTATTCCCAGCCCCCCTTTTTAACACTGTTTTAGTCTTTGCCAACTCCTGAGGGGAAATGTATGACTCTTTTATCTGTACCACTACACTCAGCAGCTGTCTGCTTCCTGCCTGCTTTGAGTAAAGTCTCCGACTAATGTTGAGTCACAGCAATAAAGCAGTAGACATACGCTGTTGATCATGAGATGCATGATGGTCTTGGGCATGAGATCTCTGATGGACTTGTTGACAATGCTGATGTATGAGTCCACAAGGTTGCGGATAGTCTCCACCTGTCGCTCCAGCTGCGGGTCCATGGACACGGTGTCGCTAGAATTAATCGCATCTTCATTCTCAGTCTGCAGGACACCAGACAGATGGACAGAGACAGACGAAGCAAAAATGACCATGAATAGCAGGTGTCTTTAGATAAAAAGTTAACACATTTAGAAACACCAATTCTGGACTGTACCAGCAGAAGGGTACGATGCAAAGGTATTTCAACACAGCCAGGCTTTCTTTTGTGAGCTAGCTTTAAATAAATATATGAATAAAACCTCCGTCAGAGATAAACGATAATACAATTCCTTTGTGAATCGAGAGTTTCTTCTTCAGCCTCTGTGTGTGCTCACATAAAATGAGACTTGGTGAAAAAGGCACAATAGTGCTAGGAATAAGTGAAGTCCTTGCAGATGGTGGTTAATTATCATGAATTTATAACATTATATTAATTTTAACGCTGCTGCTTTTCACTTCTAATGTGACAGCTGCACATTAAAGGTGTGAAACTTTATACTTATACGTAAAAGATTAAAAGATGTAGGTCTGACACTTCCCCATAGTCCAATTAAGGAGACATGTAAATGACTTTTGGGCAGATCAAAGCAAAACTGATTTTGCTGCTCAAATATTCCATTTTTAAAATCTGTCTTCTATAGTTGAAGCTGTGTAAAATGGAATTAGCAGCAATTTGTCAAAGATAAAGATATTTGCATGTTGTTCCTGTGACAATGCAACAGTTTGCAATGCACTGTTGTGATTGTTATTGCAGTTTCCTTCAGTGTACTCTGAACATAATGCTTTGTAATACTCACCTCTGAAAGCACTAGAATAAACGGTTCCCCAGTTTTCTAGATTGTAAGTGTAACAATGAAATACCTGGTCCTTTTCTGGGTAAACACCAGCTCTCAGGAAGGAAGCCTTCCAGCTGTCAACATCCTCCTGAGTGTCACATGCCAGTTCAATCTGACGCAGGTCTTTGTACACATTCCTGTAAAAAAGACATGCACAAACTTTGACCAAAGATCATATCTAAAAAAACCAATCCCAGCATCACTGTAATGATTATAGACGATTAAAGCATCCACACCTCTGTTCAGTATTGAAGATGGCAAAGACGTGCTTGCTGGACATGAAGCCCTTTTCCAAATCTCTCAGCTTCAGGTTGTCAAGAGGCAGCATATACTTCTTTTCCTTTTCCTGATAAAAGAAACAGTTATGTATTGACAAGTTTAAAAGTAGACAGACTGATATGCATAAAGTTATTTCAAAACAAACTCATTCACTGCTCGGAATAACTTTAAGACATTTCTTTAAACGCATACGTAAGATATTGCCATTGTTGGTATGCTGTAACTTCCGCTTTACTCCAGTAAATTATTACTTAACCTTTTGTCTTTGAAAGCAGCCTTACCTCTTCGTCTTTGTACCAGGACAGAGACTCGGCAGTCAGGACAAACCAGTATTCCTTGGATCCCCCTTTCATAATGCTGATGTTGATGGTGAGCCAACCTCTGCGGATGACCTGTACACAGTTAAGTCCAACAGTTGATTAAGCTGTACAGACAGGTGATCAACAGCAAGCGACCAGAATGGTAAAAACAAATGAAACCTAAACATACTCCGAATATATGCCCCAAAAAATGCCACAGCAACATTAAAAACAGCAACATAGCAGCCATGCTGGTGTAATGTTCTTAATAAAAAAAAGTAGATCACTAAGCAATCAGATCAGTCCGTACAGCATCAATAAATGCACCACAAAGAGTACAAACAAGTGATAATAGGTTCAAATGGAAAGTCACCTTCTTTGCATCCTTTTTACTGCCAGACTGATGAACAGGAAGACAAATGAACACACAGGGATAATGAGCAGACGTATGCAATACTTGAAATCTGGTTGGCGTAACCATAGATGGATTGCACAGTTGGTGCGTCAGCCTTGCAGACAATTTGTTACAGTGGATAGCTGTGACAAATTGGTTCAAAATGTAACTTTTATAGACCACTAGTGCACGAATTTCCCAGTATAATTAGTCATAATTGCAGATATGTGTCACTGTTAATTACTTAAAGTCTTAATACTGCAATTAAAATGTGATTTTTAAAAGAGCCTGTAGTTCAGCTTGGAAGGGATTACTGATGGCTAAATTTCATTAATCAAATGTGCTGGAGTGGAGCTACAAATTTCTTGTCACTGACACAGCAAAAGAACTGAGCATCTGAGCTGTGAGCTACAAAATAACAAAGCCACAGCTGTTTATGCTATGGCAGCAGTTTGTATCAGTCTATTCTGTTAAAACACATCCACACGGGCATCCTTTATGATTTGGCCAGTGGTTTTCAATTTCTTTGTGCCTGACACACACGGAGGGAGCTTAGGTACATTTGAGGCACATTAGTGGACCCTGGACCTAGCAGGAAACCTACAATCTCACTCCGTTGGCATTTTCTTCTGGTTTCAATCTTTCTAAGATTTTTAAGATGTCATGATTGATTTCCAAGCGCCTCTTTAGCTAATTTGGCACCATATCAGTAATCAGCTTCTCCTGACAAATGATGCACTGTTGGGCTTCTAACGCCGGTAAATCCTGCTGAAACTGCAAGTTTACAGACAGTTTTTCTACTTTCTTTAGGTAGTGGGTTGTCTTTACTGGTTTGCTGCAATTTACTCCAAACAACAAAGTTTTTCCAGAATTTTTTTTTTAGTACATGTGACTGTGAACTTATCGTAAGTTTAATAAAAATTGTCCCAAATTCCCACACATCAACTTGCCTTGTGTATACAGAACATTACAGTGAATTTTAAAAAAGGAAGCTGTAAGTTTTTTTGTTTGTTTGCTTTTTTTTAATGACAGCTACTCCAGTTCTCATAACACATCCTTGTTAGTGTAACTCTCACTTCCCAATTCCTCTCATCACGGAGTACAAATCTTGCTTCTCGGCATGGTCCGAATGACCATGCACTCTGCAGTGAAGAAGGAAGTGACAAATGGAGACGTGGGGGCTTCATACTTACAAGAATCTCTCCCTGGGCTATTTAAAGGAGAACCACAAGAAGAGGCAGAGGAAAGGGAAATTAAGGGAGAGTACTAGAGGGCCACAGACAAGAGTATGAACGTGTGACGAAACAAGGTAGTAATGGCAGGAGAGATAGGCTGAGACAACATCAAGAAATGAAAACAGAATAACAGCAGATGGAAGCAGGGTCTATGATGACATCACAGAGGCATGTGCACTTTAGATGAGGTGTAGACTGTATCTTTGATCACCTGATTGGGCATGGCTCGCTTCTTGGTGGCATTAGCTGCAGTCCTTTGCTGGGCGCTGTAGGAGGCAGATTTCATAACATCAGATACAGAACTGTTTTCAAACGGGGAACAGATGACGGAGAAAGTCAATAACTGTCACTACTCTTGGAATCTTTCATGCAACATAAAAGAATCTAAGACATCAGTTTCCTTTTGATCAGTTTGCTTTTGATATATTTTTTTTATCTTTAACCTCCTAAGACCCGAACTCTTCCACGGCATGCATTTTTAATTTCTCTTTGATATTTGGGCTGATTGGGGCCGGATGAATGTAAAAACAAAGAATTACCAGATTTTTTTTTACCTTATTTTTGTTTTTATGAAAAATAAGAGCCACATATGAGGATATTAGTTTAAAATTTGGATAGAACAGTAGCAGTATAATGTCCTCGTAAGTGGATATCAGGCCTTTGTAGAGCAGAATTGAGTATTTTGGTCTAAATAACCCAAAATGTGATGTCCACATATGTGGACACCAGGTCCTAGGAGGTTAAGGCAGAGCAGGATGAACTGTTGAGTAGCCTTTAAATGCATTTGGGTTTAGTAGAATTTCATTTTAAACTAAAAGGCAGAAAGATTAAACGTTAACCAAACCAAAATATATTTACACAAAATGCCCACTTTATTAGCCGTTCAACTGCCCATTAATGCAAATATTTAATCAGTCAGTCACTTTGCAGACAGTCAGTGCATTTAGGCATGTTCGAGCTGACCTGCTAAAGTTCAAACTGAGCATCAAAATTGAGAACAAGGTGGTTTAAGTGGCTTTGAATGTGGCACTATTACAGGTGTGAGGCGAGCTTGTCTGAGTGTTTCAGAAAGTGCTGATCTACACAACCATCTCTAGGGTTTACAACAGATGGTCCTGAAAAAAGATAATATGCAGCTGACGACAGTTCTCTGTGAGAAAATGACTTGTAGATGTCAGAGGTCAGAGTAGAATAGCCAGACTGCTTAAAGCTGATAAAAATAACCACTCGTCACAACCAAGCTATGAAGAAGAGCATCACTGAGCACACAACAGGCAGAAGAACAGAAAACTGAGGCTACACAAAAGGACAGTAAAAGACTGGAGAAATGTTGCCTGGTCCAGTGAGAGTCCGATTTCCACTGCTGCATTTGCATCAGAATTTTGCATAAACAACTTTCTGATGCAAATGCAGCAGTGGAAATCGGACTCTCACTGGACCAGGATGAGTAGGATGAATCCCTCCTTTTATTTTGCATAAACAACTTAAAAGGAGGGATTCATCCTACCATGTGTCAAACATTTAGGCTGGTGATGGTGTAATGGTGTGAGACAGGTTTTCTTGGCACACTTTAGGCCCCTTAATACCAAGTGAGCATACACAGTGAGCATACAGAGGCTCCCTGAGTACCTTTTTATGATTTTATGATTACAATGTACCTGCTTTCTGTTGGCTGTTCAACAGGATAGAGTGTCATGTCACAAAGCTCAGATTATCTCGAGCTGGTTTCTTGAAAATGAAAATGAGTTGAATGTTCTTAAAAGGCCTCCACATTTACTATATCTGAATCCAGTGGAGGACCTTTGGGGAGGTGGTGAATAGATGGACGTGCAACTGACAAATCCAACTGTGGTGCTATCACTTCAATATGGACCAAAATCTTTGAAAAATATATTTTCCAGTGCTTTGTTGATTCTCTGCTATGAAAAAAGGCATAAGGTGGAGCTCCCAAGGCAAAAGGAGCTCCACCCTAGGTACTAGGTGTACCTAATACGGTGCCCAGTGACTAATCACCTACAGTCATGGCTAATGATTATGTTTGTTCATTGTTAGAACTGAAATTGATGATTAAACATGTGGTTTACAACAGTGTGACGAAATATCTATCACTAAAACAGCACAAAAAGAAAAACAACTGCAAATTCTCACTTCTACAAATTCTGACACGTTAACTGACAAGTTACAAGAAACTGCTCTAGGGTAATTCCACTGACAGGTGTGAGGTAATCGGTGCCGCCCTTAGGTTGTATTTTAACTGTAAAGGTAAAATAATCCCAATAAATTTAAGTGAATGCTTTTTGTGTTGAGAAAGAATCTTAGCCTGTGTATGCATCATTTCAAATTTAGGCTTACTTTTTCCTGATACTACAGAACAGTTTGAAAGTTCCACACGATAAAGCTCAAGATTTGATTGATAAACTCTACACACTGAATTGATCTTAAAGAGAATAAAGCTGTTTACGCAGATGCCCTTTCTCACATGTGGCATATGAGTCTGCTTCAGATGAGTTTTCAGTTATGGGTTCGTGTTTGGAGCACACAGGAGGCAGGTCACATGACAGCCACTTGCTTGCTAAATGATTTAAGACTTAGATGTTTTCTGGCAGCAACTAGTGGTGGAAAAAGGCAGATAATGTTTTAGCCACTACGATTTATCGTGGAAATGGAAAGATTTTACTATCATGTATATAATTAAAAAGTGAATATGAACCCCCACATTTACTTATCCTAATTAAACTGAATAATCTATATTTTAAGTTGGTCTTACTTGGCAAATCCAATAAAGTCCTCATGGTTAGTGTTTATGTAGGACAGCTCAATGTCAATCAACAGCAGCACCTGCCAAAGAGGGCAAAACATGACGTGTTGTGTACACAAACAAGGCAAGCTTTATAATTGTTCAGGCAAGCTCCATCTCTAGCACGCACCTGGTCTTTGGTTTTGCTGTCTCTCTCTCTGATATAAGTGGTGACAATCCGCTCGGTCTCCTCTCTCAGTCGGGGGTACGAGGTCAGCTGTAGAAAGCACACATACAGAGACACATGCACTGCTGCAGATTGATGCAGATTACACACGGATACACTGTTACTGCATGCAGGCTCAACACTGTAAAACAATCTGTGTCTCCTTGTCAGCAGCTACACTCAACCAGTGACAGTTAAGTTACACCATGAACACATGTTTGAGGTCAGACAACTAACACACAACACCTTAGGAGGCATGCGTTAACAAGTCCTCTATCAGCTTGAGATTTTTTCTTATCTATGAAAATGTAACCATATTATAAAACAGCACCGGGTTAATTAACCCCTTCCACTGTACTATAATCTCAAGCTCATAGAGAAACCAGGAAATCAGTGAGGTTAAAAGATAGGAAAGAGGGAAAAAACAGTCTGGAAGAGCATTGTGAGTGTCTCATTGTGGATGTGAATAGTGTAGAAAAGGTACACCACTTGAAATATACACAACACCAGCCACAGCTGTGCCATTTTAAGCAGCCACATGTCTTGTGAGAGGGGAATGGATTTGATATTGGTGAGGTAGTGTTAAATCACTAATCCCAGTGATGATGGGCTGAGTGGATTTCAGGATCAGAGTGGGAAGGGGCTCTTGGATTTGTCATTGGGGGTCCAGGGGAGCAGCAGGATGGATGTTCAGCAAAGCCTTCAAGCAGCGGGACACTGACAGGACGAGTTAGTTTATTGAATTTATCTGCTCTTTATCACTATTTAGTCTTAGCCTGTCTGTTTTTTCTCCTTCACTCTTTTGTCCTTTAGCTCTCTCTCCATAACCTCAACATGCCTCTCTGCTATTCATGTTTACCTTTTCAGTGCACTTCCTGATCAGGGTGACAAGCTCGACGACGACCAGGTCAACACATTTCAGACAGGGATCTTTCAGCTTAATGATCTGCTTTTTCACTATAGCTTCAAACGCCAAGTCTGGGGTGAACAGGCCTGTCCTGTAGTGATGCATCGTGGGAGTTGGAGGTTTAATATCAGGAGAAAGAGGAGGAAGTGTTGTATGTGCCATGGTGGGAGAAAAAAGGGAATGGTGATAAAAAAAAACCAAAAAGCCCATGTTGGATGGAATAGTTTGGGAAAACAAAGCATTTAAAGAGGGGATGTAAAGATGAAGGTTGAGGAATATGACAAAAGGGAAAAACAGGTGGTTAGTTAGTTCTACTTCATGTTCAGAACAGAAACAAGCTGCAGGTTGATGGAGGTTTCAGCTTCCTGTACATGTGCAAGTTAGCTGGTCGGCTTATATCTTCTTTGTCGCTGTAGAAACACGACATCAAACTGTGTACAGGCAATCACAATAAAGCCTAACAACTTTGGTTAGTCCCACCTTCATAACACAATTTCAACTTGCCCAAAAAGAGTTCCCCCCCAGTGTCAGCTATATGTTGGAGTTTCGCGATTGAACAGAAACAATAGCATGCTGAAATTTAGTTCAAAGCAGGGCTTTGATTAAGTATAATCTCAGGAAGCAGCTGTGGCTGTAGACGCTGTCTCGAGCTATTTCTTCAAACCAGGCCTGCAGCTTGTTTTTTGCAAAGAACCTGTACAGGAATGTGTCACAGCCCGTCTATCTCTTACTACACACTCCAATGCACTGCAGTACAGCCAGAACACGTAGCTTTATATTGTTTTCTTCATATCAGAAAACCTCAAAGCAGGATTATAAAATAGTTCTTTAAATTCCTGTTTCAGTTGTGCAATCCAAGAAAAAAATGTCCAGATGCACACAAAAATGGCTACTGTTGGGTGAAAAATTACATCTGGCAGTACAAGCTATGCATGAGTAGCAGTCGGGCAGGCGACCATGCAGTGATACCTTATTGGTGCACTGTCTGACTGTGTTGATGAGCTCCTGGATGACCAGGTCGATGCATTTCAGACAGGGCTCTTTCAGCTTAATGATCTGCTTTTTCACTATGGCCTCAAACGCCAAGTCTGGGGTGAACAGGCCTGTCCTGAAGGACATACAGACAAGACAAACATGGAGACATGGAGTAGGAGACACATGGGAACAGTGTGAAACAGGTACATACACACAGGGAAGGCATGAACGGAGAGTGGAGAAAAACAAACGAGGAAGAGCAGAGGAAAGAAAATATACATAAGGCTGACAAGCAGCCGAGAGATTACAGAAAATGGTTACAGAAAAAAAAACACATTATAGCCAGGACACAAAAGAGGGACACATAAAGCGCGGACAGAAAAGAGGTAAGACAGGTGAGCAGACAAATGTGTGGGGTTTTTTCACAGCCTGGCTCAACTTGCCTGACTCCATGGATGTTCTTGATGGCATAGCTGATCTCTTTCCTCAGCTCCTTCTCATCAAACTCCATCTAAGACACAGTGGATTTGATTCATTATGTGTATCATCGGTGATACTTGCAGCCAAATTAACAGTAGCAACAGTCTAAGAGGCGCTTGTGTTCTTTGGGTAATTCAGGGGCAAATAAGAAATATATGACCTAAAAGAACTCAAAAAAATAAAGAAAAATAATTGTTTTTGAGAAAAGGGATGATAACACTTGTCACCTTCACTAGTTCAAAGGGAAACCGCTCATGAAAGATACGGTTAATCTTCGCTCCACCAGACAAGTTGGAAGTATCCACTTGATCTCCAGACCCTTCTATACACTTCTCAAAGTCCACACCAAACTGCTGCACCATCCTGCAGGTTTTACAAAATGAATATTAAATGTAATATCCTGTAGAGCTTTCATGCATCTGTGGATCTGGGTCTGTGGAAGTGGGTACTGACTGAAGTAACGCCTTTGTCTTGCGTGCCGGGTCGTCAGGACGGAAGTTTTTGTATTCCTCCACCTCCTTCTCCAGTGATAGCAGCTGGCTTTGGAGTTTACTGCGTAACCCTGGCAACGTGTCGCGGATGTGGTTGGTGAGTTGCTGTAAAGAAGTTACAAAAAAATTGTACGTTTTTATGAACACTTCTGTGCTATAAGTGACTGTCGTTGCCTGATATATGTGTTTGTATAATCAGGTGTGTGTCTCACTTGATTGAGGGACTTCTGGAGGTGTGGTGTACCCATGCGTTCTGCAATGTGCCTGTATGCAGGATGAGACAGGAAGAACTTCCTTTCAGCGGCTAAAGCGGCACGGATGTCTTTCTTCCCATCAATGTCCTTTTGACTGCGGTTCACCACACCAATATAGCCTAAAGAAAAGTACAAACAAGGCACCCAGGGAGTTTAGAAGACCAGAACCACATCATTTTTTGATTTGTAGTCACACAAGAAATTTAATGGATTTACTAAAGACCAGACAGAATTCACAAAGTGGAACATCCCCCCACACTTTACTAAAACAACAGCACATGTGACTAAAAAGTTCTTTTGGTTGCTAGGCCAAATATGTTAAAAATTACAAAACTAAATATTATACAAAAAGCTACATGCAGTTCCTACAAAGTTAATTTCTTAAACTCTGATTAAAACAGTGTTTGTTTTACATCAATTTAAAAAAGAAAACTCATAAAAATACTCTCAAAGGCTCAACACACACCCAGTAAACCTCTGTTTGAGCTCTTGCCCTTGGGGAGGAAATTCAGAGCTATTAAATCAAGGACAAACCGATTAAAGATCAGTTTCTTTCCTAAAGTAATTATTCCACCTAATGCTGAATAAATGCCCTTTGACTGCTGTTTTCGAAAGCAGTGGGAAGGCAATGTGTAATATGTGAAAAAACAAGAACACGTGACTGTGTTTTATTATGTTGTTTTTCCTTAGTTATTATGAATTTGCTTTCTTTTTATTGCTCTATTCTTCTACTGGATGCATTTCATTTTGTTGCTGTGGAAATGATAATGACAATAAAGTGTCAGAATCTGAAATAACAGGTAAAAATTGAAGCAAACCTTAAGTCAAAAGAGCCTCTTTGAAACATGAGCTGCAATTCCACCAATCCCCACTAGAGGCTATGCAGTAGCTTTTTTTACCCCTGTATTAAAATGTTCAACTTCTTGTTTATCCTCCTGACAACCAGGCTATTCATTTATGACCTCTGTAATGGACATTTGCTTTTTTGACTCATTTGAGCTACCCTACTAAGTCCTGATGTACTAAATAGAGGACATCCTGGACTTTCCATTGATATCTCATGTGTTTGGGTGGCCTCTTTTAGCTCCAAAGAGGCAGGAAATCACAAAAAAGTTCAGTGGGAAGATTCTTTTGTCCTTGGGTCTCAGGAGGTTGGAGTCAGGAACAAAATAGATTTGGTCTTTACAGTTAATCCCCCTGTTTTTATGGCAACCACATTATGCTTTATTATGTTTGTGGCTGTCTGAGTAATAGGTAGGTGTCGTGTTGTCTAGCATTTTACCCGAATGCACTCTAAAGAGCTGATGTTCAGTTATTCCAGTAAGTAAGTATTAAATAGGATGCTAACTAAAATGATGCTAACTGTGGCTGTTAATTGGCAACACAAAACTGTGTAAAACAACATCCTTTTACAAAGGAAAGTAATCAGCCATCTTTAAATGCACACTTAATCGGGCAATTATTTTGTATCATTATTAATATTAACTTCTATTTCATTGGTTAATGCAGCATAAAAACTGTGTATGGAATCATCAGTCAAATCTGACAAATAAAATAAGATAAAATACAATTTTAAAAAAGCTTAAACATGTGGCTGACTTGCATGCTGCTACCGTGCATCTTATGCACAGGCTAATCCATATTCCAAAGGCCACTGCAGCAACCTAGGTTCAAGTTTATCACAGATTTTTTGCTCCATGTTTGCTAATTTTGCCTAATTCTTTCCCTCCTGGTAGTTCTTTTTCCACCTCATTCAATTCATCAATTAATTTGGGATTATTTGAGAGACATGCCTCTATCTTAAAATATCTCTGGCTGTTGTCCCAATATAGTCATGCGAGGTTTAAAGAAAACAACAATATAGCAAAACCTGTTGTCCACAAAACAACAGGTGATACTGCTGTGGGTATGGCGTGGGAGTTTTAATGCTTTGGTTTTGTGTCCGTACCTCTGCGGAGCGGCAGAAGTTTGTTTTCCAGGATGTCTCGTGCATCTGTCCCCTCGTCCATCAAGTCCAACTTTGTGATCACACCAATGGTCCGTAGCCCTGAAGAAAAGTCATAATTATGTTTTAGCATTCAGATAGATAATCTCAGAATGATTTCAAATAAAAACTTATTGTCATCAGCATTAATAACTGTTGAGTAACAAATAATTTGCAGTTGCTGTACAATCCCTGAAGTTGCTGCAAAAATTATACCGAAAAAGTTACAAAAAGAAATATGTAGACGTGTGTAGGTCCACATATTCTGAACATTGGCTTACCCTGAGGGTCCACCTCCTTTGCTATCTTGAGGGCATCTGAGTTGGCCAGGTCTGTGTTTGCAGGGGTAACAGCCAGGATCAGACAACTCTCCTTAGTGATGAACTGTAGCAACATGTCTCTGATCTGATGCTCAATGTCCTGGGGTTGGTCACCGACAGGCACTTTAGTCATCCCCGGTAGGTCAATCAGGGTCAGGTTCAGCACTGACAGAGAAAAGAGGGAACGGTGAAAGTGATCAGACGGATGTTGAGCACTGGCACTAAGAAGGCTGAGTTTGTAAACGTGTGTGTGGTACCATTAGGGGAGTAGACACGGAGGTTGATGGGGATAGGGGAGATGCCTTTGTTGGATCCAGTGAGACGGTCTGTTTCCGCTTCGATCTCCTGGCGGACCTCATCAAAGTCCACAAACTTCCTTCCTTTACAGTGCAAGAACTCTGCATACTCTACATGGAGATAAACAAGTTTTAGACGGCAAGGAGAAAACCGAATGGACTGGAAAGAAACGGCACAAAGTAACACAGCTGTAAGATGTAGTGAGTGAAGCTCAATTAGTGGCATAAATGATGCAATTATTAAACCTGTATTGATATGGATTTAGAGTGCAGGATTGTAAACGCAAAACAATCCTGTGTGGTACATTTCTCCAGCTTTCTTCAAGAAAGACCAGATTTTCAAGAACTACTTCCTAACAACTGAGAAACAACTTGCCTGCTTTACTGTTAACCAGCTGGAGGATGAGAGGGCGACGGGTGACGATGCCAGATCCTCTGGGCAAAAAGTCCCTGAAGGAGAGAAGCAGGTAAAGTTTAACACAACAAGTAATGTTTAATGGACAGGCTTTTCTTTTTTCTTTTTTCTTTTTTAGTTTCATACAGCGTTTACAGCACTTATGTTTTTTGCATTTCTTATTCTATTATACTTTATAATTCCTTGTGTTTAGTAATATATTTTACATAGCACTAAATCTACTTTTTTATTTGTTTTGTAACATTTTTCTGTCTTATTATCAGCTTGTACGGCATCTGTGAAGTGATCTTAAAACCGGCAAATAAAAGGTGCTTTACAAAAAGGGCTTGACTTATAAGTAAATACAACAACAAAAAACATCAATTTCATTTTGAAACTATATCAAAATCCTACATATTTAGCATCCCCTACCAAAATAAGAGTTCATGGTGTAAAACAGCTTTCATATACCATTAACTGGAAATGCAGGCCTCCATCTGAGGTTTTGCATTATTAATGCAAACCCAAGATTGACTTGCATCCCTGTTCAATATAAATAGATCAAAGACAAATAGATGTCTCCCACTGTTTGCCCTTCTCATTACATACACATTCATCACAATGGAAACTCCTGTCCGATAGAATCGTGATCATTTCCAGGTCACCGACTACACATCTCTCTGGGCCATGAAAATATGTCCTTATCTGTTTTTCTGTTTGCATGCCCAGCCAGCAGCAAGGTCCAAGTTTTATTGTAAGGTAAATAAGCCCCACGCACTAACATATAATGATTTGAAGCTATACACATGTATACAGCCTCTGCTTGTAGTCATTGCTGACAGCGCAGGGAGGAAATTGCACAACTGTGGACCCATCCTGTTTTTTTCTCTCTCTTCCTGTCACTTATGAAACCACAACATGAATCGGTTGAAGCAGCGGGTCATCTAAACTGGAATTGCAAAGGACACTGCTAACTGTTTTTTGTCCTCTAAACCAAGTACAATTTAAAAAAACAACAACTGATGATTTAGTCCACCAACACAAAATTAATCATGAACATTTTGCATTATGATAATCTTTTCTTTTTTTTTTTTAAACAAACAAAAATTTAATTTTGGGGGATAATTTTACATTATAGCAAAATGTAAAAGGAACTTTTTTTCCCATTTAGTGGAGAACTAAAATAAGGGAAACTTGTCAACATTTTATAAACAATAAAATAAAACAATAAAATAGAAAAAAAAAACCTACATCAATAATCGAAACTGTTAGCCGGATGTGTCTGACAAAAACTAACTTCCACCTTCGTAAAACAAGTAAACCCCCCAATCTCAAAACGCAGTGCTTCATCTCTGAATGTCAGTGGAGCAACTAACAAACATGAAAACAGCTCTGTGCTCTTCTGTGGGTATCTGGTGGTACCCAGTGTGTCATATACACATGACAGTGCAGCTGGTGACATCACTGATGACCCCAGCACAAACACATCAATGCCTCTACTGTCTCCCTCGGCCACTGCTTGGGACTTGGAGACAAAAGGAAACGGGGAAAAAGGAGACATGGCAGCCTAATCCACATTCCCGATCTCTTGAACAACAAATGAAATCATTTGGACATGTAGTCGATTAAAGTGGTCCTGTTACTTTGTTACTAAACTCAAACTGTGGATTAGGCCCCTATAACTGCATTACGGCCATGTCACATTCCCCTTCCGGATTTTGTTTCAAGCTATGTCAATGTGTTTTTAATGTAAAATACTGATTATTTTACACAACGTAATAAAGTGAGCAGAGTGCCTCAAACATATGGCAATAATGTAACAGCTGTTTTACTGCTATTTATCATCAAGAAGAATCATACACTGCTTACTGGAATTCCTTCTAGCTCATTCATCAGCCTCACAAAGAAATTCAACAGTGCTTAGCATGCTGAGAGGGCAGAGTCAAGGCATTTTCATATATATACGATGGGTGTAACTGTCTCATAATAAATGATCAATCCACGATGACTTCATCATAACTGCTAACAACCTTTACATACCTCACCCTTGAAAGTAAAACATTTACCTGACCTGTGTAATTTGAGGACTATGAAGCTATCTTTCTTTTCAGAATGAGCAGTCTCAAGGAAAACAGCCTTTGTAAATGTTTGACAGAATGGGCCTAATAGGAAGCAATGACTGGAAAGAACAGTGGACACAGATCTAATGAGAAAGTCACATTCTTGACTGTATAGTTCAAGAACATGGACGCTAAGACGAAAGCTTTTATTTTTTTTATTGCACTTTACTTTAACACTCGTTTTGTACCAGTTCTGCCAGTCACTAAACAAACAGCTGTGTTCTTGCGTAAAATGCGTAATTATCGATCGTGAATAGCACAGCTCCATAATGGAAATAATCTGTTGGAAAACTGGGAGGCTCCGACACACAGACGCGTAACCAAGTGTTTAGCTGGCGACTTTTACGCAAAAGCTCTGTGTTGTTTTTATTAAAAGAACAACGAGAGACTCCTGCCAAAAAAAGAAAGTTAAGCTTCACAGTGTCAGTTTTAGCCAATTCTACATATTAATGGTACAACCTCCCAACGAAATTCTCCAACACGGAGCTCTTCCCTGCACTCTGACCGCCGACGACCGCTATCTGAGGCAGGTCCAAGTTGCAGGTCTGGCCGATAGAGCTGAAGGCGTCTTGGAGCTTGTTGATGAGGGGAATCAAGTCTTCCATTCCCCGGTTTCCCATAGCTGCAGCTCGGTCAGCTCAGTGGGCTTTATTCTGCTCTCCTCCACGGTCAAACAGGAGCCAAGGGGGTCTCTTGTCCAGCAAACCAAAAGTTCCCGAATGGCAGTGCAGTCTGTCACAGGCTCGGGGAGTTTATTTCAGTACGACACGAGAGAGCTAAGAGTCAGAAGTCCCACCAGCCTTTAGTAAACTCGCAAGAGTCTTAAATGTGTGATCGCATGATAAAAGTCGCCACATTAGACTGAAAACTTCTGTCATCATCCGGTCAGGCGACACCCAGCCTCCGCCGGAGATTGTAGCTCCGCCTGGAGCGTCATTTTGGTCAGTTATTGGTCGTTTGGGATGTCTGTCAGTGTACACATACATATGTCATCATTTTTATGACAGAGCACAGTAGTTTTTGAACTTTGACAAATTAGAAAAGAGACTTATCTTATTCATAAAAACACTCGTTTCACCACTGGTACTAAGAAACAACGATTTTGAATTTCAAGTTTAATTCCTAAACAGTATTTTTCTTTGTTTTGTCTGTAATGTTTTTGCTTTATTTAATTTTTTTTACAAGGTTGACTGTACTTTTTGTCTCTTTAATGAAATTATTTTAGGAGCATCTGCAGTGAGGCTCATAACTTTCTTATGTAAACAATAAATTTACTTACATCCCCAGAAGGAATAAACATTTTATTAACAACAACCCTTTTCTTTATATTTCGTTATTTCAAAGAATCTTACACAAACTGCTTTGTTTTATGAAGCACTTTCTCTACTGTATTACCACATTAATTTCCTTTGTCTTTACTTTTCAGCGAATACAAAAGAATAAAACAAAACACTTACTTACTATGACAGACTGTTACAGAGAGGTATTTACAGGCAATGTGATAGTGAATTATGATATGGTTCATACAATGAAGCACACGATAACAAATACAGTTATCTACTTATAAGCAGCTGATCACCAAAGAGTCCACAAGAGGGAGTTGCAGAGCAAAATAAGATACAAACACTGAAATGCTCGGTGGTCAAACGTAAAACAGGAAATCATAACTGCATGCTTGAATTATAAAAACAAATAGGATAAAAATCATAACAAGACACAAGGAAAAGCTCATAGTAGTTTAAATATTAATTTGGAAACTAAACATGTTTTACTCCATGTCAAATTGTGTGTGGTTTATTCATCAGCTGCACCTTCAGGTACTGCCAACCTCTGAACTGTATTAAACTGTTTCATTAACTACGACTGAAAAAGAAACAAACCGGGAACTATTTCTTAGGAATATTCATTTTCTTAATCAGTGATCAGATATTTAAGTGACGATACACTTTCTAAATATTGTAAACTACTTTTTGACCAATTACTTGTTTAAAAAACCCAATAATTTATGTTCTCATTTTTGTGACACTGAAGCGTCGACCATAGCAAATCAAATTTTTACTAAAAACCACTAACTGAAATCAGACGTGTATGCGACCTAAATATTTGTAATTGTAATAACTGTAATATTTAAACCACATTTCTATAGTTACACCTGAAGTGCTTCAACCTTTTTCCTATTATTTTAAGATTACAGATAGTATCTATGCATAGAGAATATTCAGCTCCTTCACAGCATCACTATATTATTGCTCCCCTTGTCTTATAACAGTTGAATAGAGAGTTGTCTCAGGTGCTTGATTACTGGTAGCACTATGTCCCCTGCCAGCGGAGCTATTTTTCTTAGTGTCAGGAAGTGTTTTTCCACCAGTGTGGAAACCCACAGTGGTATACTGAAGCATGTCTGCAGAAGGACTGATGACGTCTTGTCCCATGGGAGTAGAGCCATTTTCACTAGTGACAGGAAGCATTCTTTCATCTTTTTGGAAATCCACAGTGGCATAGTGGACTATGTCTGCAGGAAGATTGACATTGGTATCCTTCTGAAAGTCAACATTAGCATGGTAGACCAGGTCTGGAGGAGGGCTGGTAACAGCACAAACAGAGGGCAGTGAGCTCTCTTGCTGCCTCCGTATGTTAATCTCTTCATATTGATGATCTCCAGTATTTCCCTGGGGGAGCAATGAAGAGCAATGGTGGGACAGATGCAAAACTGTGCCCTCAATCAAACTAAACAGCCCCCCCCCCCCCCCCACACACACACACACATTCTGAGCCTCAAAAATGCCTTCAAACTCGTGGGGGCCAGCATTTTATACCCAGATGTGACTGTTATTCCCCACATGCTAATTTTCTGTCCTCACAAAGATGTCTAAACATGTACAAATGCACACACACACACACACACACACACACACACACACACACACACACACACACACACACACCTCTGTGTTATGTCCAGACTTTGTCCTCAGCTCTGATGACCCCTCAGCAGCAGTTTCTAAGATGAGAAGAATTTGAACATAAACAACAAGAGTTTTTTTGTGTGTGTTTGTTCTCACTGATGTCTTATCTATCTATCTATCTATCTATCTATCTATCTATCTATCTATCTATCTATCTATCTATCTATCTATCTATCTATCTATCTATCTATCTATCTATCTATCTATCTATCTATCTATATTTAAATGAATTAAATATTTTTGCTTTTGTAGTTAAGGTCAGAAAAACCTTTCATTGAATGTTTTACACCAATCTTGATCTGATAAATTAAACAATTATATGTATTTGTTTATTGTATTTATGTATTTTCCTACCTGACATCTTGAGGACTTTACATCTGTATAGTATTAGCACAACCACAGCAATCACCACTAATGATCCCACACCCACACCCACTCCAATACCAATACGCAGGCCTGCAAAAAGGAGACAGCCATAGAGATATGGCTTAAAAGTTTATAGAATAGAGACTGTGGCTTAGTGTGTTTCTGCAGTAGACATTTGTGTGTATTTGTATACTGAGATATTAACTGCAACTGCTTGGCAGAGACACATACCTAAATGCTCATCTACATCTCTCTTCAAACGTAAACCGACTGATTCTTTGGTTTGAGTGTGTCTTTCAGCTGTGTGAGAAAAAAAAGAAAGAAGGTTATACAATTTTTGTTGATGTTGTTAATACTCAGAAAATAATCATTATACAGTAGCAAAGAGTGTTTTTTTTCTATTACTTAATTAATTTGATGTAGTATGAATGTAGGAAAAGCTTTAAAATGTATGAAAATACATTTAACAGTCTGAAGTTTATTCCCTTTTCCAAAGCCATCCAGTAGGCTGGAGTCAGCTTAGCCAATTCGAACCCCTAAGCCTTATCTTTGACACCCCTGCTATACATTTTTTTTGTATTTCCTATAAAGTAACTCAATTTATGGCTTCAGTGGTAAAATATGTTTATTGATTGTCAACAAATAAACCAGGACTAAAGTCAGAATAATTATAACCATGTGTCGAACAATAAAATGATACCTTCTACCTCAACCAATTTTATTGCAGATGGTTTTTCTTCTAATAAAAAGGTGTTGTTGTGAAACACCACAGCTATATATATATATATATATATATATATATATATATATATATATATATATATATATATATATATATATATATATATATATATGTATACAAATTGGGTACTTACTGATAGAAAGGTATATTTTGGTGTATTCAGCATTTGTCATTGTTTTACCAGATCCGCACCAATACGTTCCAGAGTCGGTTCTCCTCAGGTCACTGATGTAGACATAGAAGTAGTTCCTTCTTTTATTATCCCTCATGTAAAATCTGTCTTTAACTACAACTCTGTCTTCTTCTGTTGTCCGTATTAACTCATCACAGCTCAAGGGATTCTTTCCTTTGCAAAGGTATTTTTCAGTGTCCTCTTCACTCTTAGAATAGTTACATGTAATTGTTGCAGTCTCTGAAGTAACACCAATTATTTCATGTGGTTTAACCTCGTCCCAGTCTTAAAAAAGGAAATGCATGTCAGTGCAGCTATTTTCTTTACAAACTGCAACTTATAAATGTGTTTTCATTTACTAAAATTATTATTACGTTAAATTAAAATCAGATCAATACTCACTCAAAATATAGAGGTGGATCTCAGTTAAACAAGAAGTGGATGTACCAGATTTTATACTACACTGGTATTTTCCAGCATCTTGTTGGGTCAGTGCAGAAATGATCACAGTGTAGACTCTTTGCTGTTTATCATCTCTGAGAGAAAATCTGTCTAGTCTGGTGTAATTTGAGTCATAAGATGATATCAGATTATTGCAATAAGAGCTTGCATCTTCTCTACAAAAGGATTTGATTCCACTTTCTTTTACTCTTGTATAGTTGCAGTTGATGGTAGCCGAGGCGCCAAGAAATGTGGTCTGGTTCACTGGTTTGTTGTAGCCTGTCAGAGAGTTGAAGCGTATGAAGCAAAGATTAATTTCTCACTCAAAGTCAGCAGATGTGTGTATAGTGCAATCAGTGCAACACTTAAAATTACTAATCTGTTTATTAGTAGAGTGTAGATGCTGTTTGACATTTTTTTTAGGCAGCAAGAAGACAACCTGTATTATTAATACATTAATATACAATAAAAAGCATCACTCATGCTGTTCATTCATAAGTTCATTTTAGCACCTATGCAGGTGTATTAGGGCTGCCACGGTTAGTTCACCAGTCACGATTATGTCACCTATCAAAATCGTCGATGACTAATTTAATAGTCAACGCTCATTTGAAGCTTTGTAAGATCCTGAAAGACGCAGGAATGAGCTGTAGGATTTAATAGTGTAATAACGGACTGAAACAGAAGATGGTAGCAATGCTGCTGTTAAACGCCAACGAAGAAAAAGTAGTATGAGTTATTTGTGCCTGAGCGCCCTTAGAAAAAATTTTGCAAGCGAAATGTTGCATTTTGAGGAAAAAATAATTTTGAGTGAAGAAAATTTTAATTTGAGCAAACATTGCTGTGTGCAAGAAATGTATTTCAGTGTTTGCTCTTATCCATATACACACACAATAACAGCCCCTCTCGCTCAGCTGTTGGCATTTGCTCTTGCTCAGTTCTCTGCTCTGTGTGCTGACATCGGCGGATCTGCTCTCTATGGCAAGCCATCAGGGCCAAAAATTACCACTTTTCTAACCCGTCTCTCAGTGTGTCGTTAGCACTCACAACATCTCTGCTCCGTGCACACTTAACTCTTTACAGCATTATAAGTGTGCCATAAAACCAGCCAATCACAGACTTGAATGTAAAAATTCTGATTGGCTGTTTCGGTCTCCAAGCAGCTCGCTAGCTACTGCATTCCGGAAACAGGGTCCAAAATGTAGCTAAATCCATTTTCGGTTAGTATGTTTAATTAATTATTTTAAAATATCTATATATTTTTAAGGTCATTGTTAGTTTAAATCTAGTTTAAACCAAACCACTCCACTGGATTTACTTGTGACTATAGATGTCTGTTAAATCTATGTACAACATTTTCATCAGAACGGAAGACTAAAGGTATAAAAACAGCAATAAAATAAAAAAGAAAGTACTCAAAGAAACTCAAATGCACAGTAATGAGTATCACTCGCGCTGTTTGTTAAAATAAGCTAATTTTAGCTGCTATACAGCGTTATGATTTAACCAATGGCTATCTTTCATGTTTTAAAACTTAATCACAGCAACGTTTGTAACTATAGCTGTCTGATAAATGTCGTAAAAACATTTTTCTCACAACTGAACAGTAGAGGTATAAAAACAATCATAAAATCCAAACACCTGTAACTACCTAATTACCTGAAATTTGTATTCAAGTATAGCAGTAAATAACTCAAATTACTAGCATGCCTCTGTGCAGAAGTATTTTGCTGGTTGGTTTACATCTTTGTTGTACTTACAGTTAATGTTGACACGTCTGTCCTTGTTTCCCATTACAGACAAAAAGCTCACAGCAGCTGTTATAGAAAATTAAATGAATAAAACTATAATTTAATCATAACACTTAAAATGAGTTTCAGCCCCAAGAAAATCAAATAGAAGAATAATCTTACCTGTTATTAAGTGGATGATTTGTAATGATGCTGCCATTGTTTTGGTCAGAAACGTTTTATAGTTTTCCACAGTTTTAAGCTAAAATTATAATATTATGATCCAAAATTTTAAAAAAAGCTAAATAAGCTGCATGCCCCTATGATCAGTCATGACACCTGTACTCTGCTCTCATCAAATTGTTATATTCTCACTTGCTTGTGATGTCTCTGCACAAAAGAGAGCGTGCCAGCTTTGTTTTTCCACCACAGAAGTTCAAATATTTGCATGATGAAGAAACAGGATTTGAATCTCTTTATGCAGAGTGATAGAAACAGAGATAGAAAAGGAGAAGAGAAAGAAACAGATGGAGAGCGAGAGTGTTGACTCATAGTAGCTAATCATCAGCTGCATGTTATGACGTCTTTCGCTGCTTCAAGCAAAATATTCATCATAAAACAATGTCCACAATGTCTCTCTTATCTTTGGATCAAAATAATTATAATACCAGATATTAGTTAGCAGGTGTTCTACGTATCTACCCATTGCATGAAAAAGTATTAATGTAGTCTATCCAGAGGCATGGAATTATGAAAATGTAGTAGAGTTTTATTATAATTAAATTTCCGGATAAAGTAGCTGTGTGCCTGCACTTTGATTCCAAAATAGTAGAGGCTGTCTTTGTCATGGTCCCTTTGTCATCGTCTAACTGACTGTTTTCTGTCTGTCTTATCCCACTCGTGCTTTCTGCCTCTCCTCTCTACTGTCCTCGTTTGTGTGTCTACATGTGTGTTGTGGTGTTCTGGATTTTATGCAGTGGCCTTACTTAAGGGAATGGCTGCGCTTAAGTCTTTGCTGAATTGTTGCGCTACTATGTCAGTGTAAATCCCAGCTCTGGTACTAGTTGGTTTGCTACTTTTGTTTTGTAAAGAAACTTACCTGTGTCCTCTTGTATACAGTAAACCTGCAGAGTTACCTGTTAGAGACCAGTGGTGTACAAACTGTGGAGAGCTGACTTGGAGAGAATCCTTGAGATTTGGGAATCAGGACTAGCATTGTTATGGGATTCATGTTTGGGATTGTTATTGCACATCCTCTTTGTAAATAAATTCACTGGTCTTTTAAGAGTCCTGCATTTGAGATCTGCTCTACCTGGTGGCAAACGTGACACTCTGATTTGCACAACTAACAAATTATGTTTTACTTAATAAAATACAGTGTGTGAATGTCAGATTTGGCACAATTTAATTGATGGGGATGTAGATGAGGAGAGAGAGGCAAATAAAGGTTGTGTTGGGAAAAATAAGAAGGCAGAATATGTTAGACAACTCAGATCTTAACTCTTAAGATTTTCATGACATGGTAATATGTAAATTACAGTGAAGAAAATACTACTACTACTACTACTAATGATAATAATACTAATAATACGACTCACAAAATGCATCCAACCAGAAAATAACTGTAGACTGTAGTATGCTCAGAAATGACACTTAGAATATGATGAGACTTATAGATTTTTTTTATTACATTTGGCATGTGACCAGTTCATTACTGGCAACCCCAATGACCACTACAGAGTGGCCAATACAGTTATTGACTCAATTATTAATCATTAAAAAAATCCAAAAATGCACATGAGATATTGATTGTAAAAGTAAGGGGAGGCACAGAGACTGCTTATGTATAGGGCAAAGAGTTTTGTGCTGTGCCTCTGGTTGTGTATTCAGAGTTACAGTAAAACTATGCCTCATTTTACATGGTAGTTTGACAATACCTAGTTACAAATTTTGGGTCCAATCCTATTGTGTATTTATTACAGGTAATAACACACAAGACTTCACTATTGTATTTATTTTTGGCTGCTGGCATGACTACATAGTTGCATGTTACGCCATTCACTTATATGCAAATAATGCAGTTTGCGTCTGTATATATATATATATATATATATATATATATATATATATATATATATATATATATATATATATATATATATATATATATATATATATAATAACAATAAATTAATAGGTGTTTAATTGTTTTTGTGCATTAGCAGCTTTTTCAATCTTTATTTATCTTACAGCTTCAGTATCATCAGTTTTCATTCCCTTTATCAGGTTTTAGTTCTACAGTTAAGTGGCCTCCAGTTAAGGGTGTGGTGGGTGTTCAGGGAGTTCACTCATTTTTTACGGTGATATGGTTTATTGGCATAGTTTATCAGCGCTGTTAAACAGTGATGGGAATAACGGCGTTACAAATAATGGAGTTACTAACAGCGTTACTTTTTTCAGTAATGAGTAATCTAACGAATTACTATTCCTATCGTTACAACGCCGTTACAGTTACTAACAAGAAAATGCGGTCCCTTACTATTTTTCAACAAACAGACGGTTGAAGCTGTGTTCAGCTTATCGCATCTTATATCAGTTGCACGGAAGTAGCTGACTACGTAAGTATCAAACAAGCCTTAACTAAAGTATTTGATAAAATTATATGCTAAATTGAAATCCATTCAACATTTCTCCATCTATTTTAGATGTATGAATAATATTTATGCATGGAAAACACATCCCAGCTTGATGATGTTGTTGTTGTTAACCCTATTTTGTGACAGTTGCATAGAGAGTTGGCTCTGCTGCTGGAGGATTGGTGCATGAGGACTCACAGTAGCATAAACAGTGTGCAATGAGCTCTTTTGCTGTTTCTGTTCATTTATCTTATCATAATGATTAGGATCTCCAGTATTTCCCTAGAAAGAAAATAACAGGATGATAGATACAGGTGTAGTGCTCATATGCAAACTACACAAATACACAAATACACAAATACACAAATACACACACACACACACACACACACACACACACACACACACACACACACACACACACACACACGTACCTCTTTGTTATATCAAGACTGTATCCTCTGCTTTGACGATCTCTTGACAACACAACGTGCTAAGATGGAGGAGGGGGAGGATTTGAATAAATGTAAAGGACATCATATTTGTTTTTGTGTCTGTTTATCCTGAGCAAGTAAATCATGTCATTTTAACTGTTAACACTCTGTTATAAAAATTTGAACAGAGCGTTTGTTCAGACAGGCCACAAAGTGAAACTTTACTGTAATCCTGGCAGATCTGGCTGATCTAATGGCATTTTTGTCAAATTTCTAGTCCTCACCTGACATCCTGAGTAGTTTCTGTCTGTACCGTATTAGTGCAATCACAAAAATCATCAGCAATATTCCCAGACACACCCCAATAACGATAGGCCAACCTGCAAAAAGGTATAAACAACAATGCATACAATTTATTGCCCTCTGGAGTCATGTATAGACTAGAGCAGGAGTCCCCAACTCCAGTCCCCGAGAGCTACTGTCGTGCAGCTTTTAGATGCATTCTTGTTCCAACACACCGGATTCAAATGGATAGCTTGTTACCACGCCTTTGCCAAACTTGATGGCATGCTGAAGAGGTAATTCAACCATTTGATTCAGTTGTGTTGGTAGAGGGATGCATTTAAAAGCTGCAGGAGAGTAGCTCTCGAGAACTGGAGTTGGAAACACCTGGACAAGAGGATCTGTCTCTGTGTCATACCTATGACATCTGGTGCAAGTGTTGCAAAACTGGGACTGGAGGATGCAGAAGTGGAGGGTGCAAGATTGAGTGCTGGATTGGAGGTTTTCACCCTGGAGTTTCAGTGTGTGGAACTGGATTATGTGGAACTGGAGTGTGTGGAACTGGAGTGTGTGGAACTGGAGTGTGTGGAACTGGATTGTGTGGAACTGGAGTGTGTGGAACTGGAGTGTGTAGTACCAGACCTGAGACATTCTTCACAGAGTGACTATATTATTAGTGTTGCCCCTTTGTGACGTCTGAATAGAGAGTTGGTTCTGCTGCTGGAGGACTGGTGGCTTCCTGCTCTTTTTCAGTGAATCAATTTTTATTACTGTCAGGAAGTGTGTTCCCGTTTTTCTGAAACTTGGCAGATTCATAGTGGACCAGGTCTGCAAGAGGACTGACAGTAGCATAAACAGATGGCAGTGAGGTCTTTTGCTGTTACTGTTCCTTTATCTCATCATAACGATGATCTGTTATACTTTCCTGTTAAGAAAAAGGAGACCAGGATGATAGGATGATGATGCAACTGAACACACACATGCATTCACACATACCTCTTTGTTAGCTTGTATCCTCTCCTTTGATGATTTCTCAACAACGACATGCTGAGATGGAGTAGGAGGATTTGAATAAATACAAACGAAAAAATATAAACCATAAATTGTGTGTCTGTTTATCCTGAGCGAGTAAATGTTCTCTTTTCAACTGTTAAATCACACACTCTGTTTCAAAAGTTGAGCTGAATGTTTGTTCAGAGAGGCCACAAATTGAAACTCCAATGTAAATCAAGATGATCTGGCTGATTTGATGGCTCAGCTAAACACCTTTCTATGCAACCAATGAACATCTGCAAGCTGCTTTTCAGTATAGCTTCACCCTAGATCCTCCATTCATGCTATATCAGATTTAATGAGTGTGATATTTATAATCCCCGATGCCCTCTCTGTTCTACAATGCTGCACTCTCTTTTAGCTTTTCATATATGGACATTGAGGGAGGGACAGGTCTCCAAAATGGACTAGTGATCTTCCATTGACAATGGTTGAAATATTTAGGCGTAACTCACATTTAAGAAAGTCTCTGATCTGACAGCTGATACTGTTAAATATAGATGAAACAGAATGTGTATGTATATTTCATGATATTTCCAGCCCTCACTTGGAATGAGTGGATGTGGATGAGTCACTGTCACTGGAGAGAGGGGTGCCGACAAAGCCATCGCCAGAGGCAGCACTGCCACTGGCGCTGGCGTCAGAGAAAGTGCCACCACCAGGTCTACCAACTGAGTCTCAGTGAGTGTAAAAATCAAAGCACAAATTATTTTTTTTTTCAGGATAAATGTAAAGACTTGAGGATCTTTATTTCTGTGTTTCTGAGACATACCTGTGAAATGTGGTCTAGTGCTGGAGGCAGAGCCGGCACCAGAGGCAGAGCCAGAGCCGCTGCTGGAGACAGCACCAGGACCACCAACTGCTTCACTGTGGCTACAGTAAAGGCCTTGTATGTCAAAGAAAGAAAACTTAGCATTTGGTGATGTTCATAGGCTCAAG